GCTGTTGTGGCTACAATTTCATCATTGCATCTTGTGTTTAGGGGGTGGGGGAATTGATACAGAAATTAAAATTCTAGTATTCAAAGTTTGAAATACGACTAAGACGTTTCATATAATTCCATAAAATTGAGAATGGAAATGGGGAATGTGTCAAAGGGACAACAACCCGACCATAGAGCAGACAACAGCCGAAGCCCACCAATGGGTCTTCAATACAGAGAGAAACTCCCGCACCCAGAGGCGTCCTTCAGCTGGCCCCTAAACAAATATGTATACTAGTTCAGTGATAATGGACGTCATACTTAACTCCAAATTATACACAGGAAACTAAAATTAAAAATGATACAAGACTAACAAAGGCCAGAGGCTCCTGACTTGGGACAGGCGCAAAAATGCGGCGGGGTTAAACATGTTTTTTGAGATCTCAACCCTCCCCCTATACATCTAGCCAATGTAGAAAAAACAAACGCACAACAGTACGCACAGTAAAACTCAGTATAAGAGAAGTCCGAGTCCGATGTCAGAATAGGAAACAAAAGAAAATAAACAAAATGACAATAATACATAAATAACAACAGACTACTTGCAGTTACTGACATGCCAGCTCTAGACCTCAATTAAACTGATTGAAAGATTATGTCTTCATCATATGAATATCAGGCACAATCCCTCCTGTTAGGGGTTTAGTATTATACCGTCATAAAATATATGAGAAGAACATAACCCGTGTCATGCCAACAAATGGTTTTAGAATAAATGTGTTTAATGTCTTTATTGAAATTAAATACACGGGTTAATGCTATTTACTTTCAAAATTGCAAAAGATCGTATTTCCCCTGCACTCTTTAAAATGTTGCTGTATGAAATCTACTTAGAAGTAAGTCCAGCGAACGATATTTGTGAAGGTTAGGACATTATTTCTGAATCTCAAGATTATAGTTCACGTCCGCTTTGAATATTTGCAAGCATTGGATGTTTCAAGTTAATGTATCTGTCTCAAGTAAATATCAAATGAATGAAATTCAAATTAAAATGACGTCTTTACACTAAATACATTGGATGTTGGATGTGTACTGATTGGTATTTTAGTCTTAGATACAGGATATTTTATTGGTGTTATTTGCTTTGAACTAGTTGTCAGTAACTGTGAGTACTCTTAGATCTTTACTTAGTGTCTTTGTTTGTTGTAGGATGTATAGATACGCTGCCACGTCTTGTCGTGTTTTCGTTAGATGTTTTCTGCTTTGTATCGATCTGATGAGTTAAGCCCCTTCCAACTGGTATTTTATGGTTTGTTCTTATGTTGTACTGTTACACCACTGTCCCAGGGGTTTGGCGCCATCGAACTAGTTTAACCCTGCCACATTATGTATGTTCCTGTCCCAAGTCATGAGCCTGTAGTTCAGTGGCTGTTCTTGGTTCATGTCTGTCACATTTTTTTTTTTCGCAAAGTGTTTTGTTATAAATTACGCCGTTTGTTTTCTCAATTGAATTGTTTCATATTTTTCATAACGGGACCTTTTATAGCCGACAATACGTTATGGGTTTTACTCATTTTTGAATGCTGTACGGCTGTCTATAATTGCTTATATCCACTTCATTTGAAATTTGGTGGATAGCTAGCTGTCTCATTGGCAATCATAACTCATATCCTTAATTTTATATCAAAGAGGTAGAGTCAATGTCTTTTGATTTTGTTTTTAATACCAAATCTATTAACAAAAAATTCTTAAAATGTTTACTAAAATTCTCAATACTAAAGCTTTAAATGCGGGCTTTGAGGTACTAAACAATAGCATGATTATATCAGGTAACCAATGCAAAACATAAACGATTGAAGATAGCTCAAAACTGCAAAGTTGACTGTTGTTTGCAAATTTTGTGTATTTATTTAAATAAGCCTAAGCAGGACATTTTAAACTAGAAATAAAAAGTGAAAACACAACAAATAAGATAAAAAATAGATTAAGAATTGTATAAAATGTCTGCAACAGCAACATCTAGCGAATAACAATTTAATTTCATAAAAACATAATAAAATACTAGACTCATCTTTATTCTAATAGAATTTGACAATTTCAAGAATGTGATCCTTGTATCAAACAGAAATAGTAGAAATAAGGACAGAGTTTTTGTGATGAATGTGTAGCAAGACGTCTGAGGAGGGGCTGCATTGCTTTCTTAATCTTACTTATAATCGTTATTACAATCCAAAGTCTTCTATCTTTTATTTAATAAGCATTCAGAAAAAATCATCTCATATTAGGATTACGTCTTTTCATTTTTTTTTATGACTACATGGGTTGCTTTGTTTTATATTAATTATTATTCAAAAAGATGGTCCTGGTAGGACATGGATGAATGAATTAGACATTTCATTTTAACCATGTTATAAATAGTTAATATGTCTTTACGTTTTTTAAATGTAGTATTGTGTATTGTAACATGTGTAATGTTAAAACAGGTAAGTCTAAAACCATTTTTACATGTTTACAATGTGCATGTATCTGAGGTAAGTTTTGATGAAATCTACGTTTTATATTTTTAAATTCATCCAGGTATTTGTAGCTACTGAACATGGTGAACTTGTCCATTTCGAATTTGATAAATGCATTTGATTTATTTTCAGAATATTGCCGTTTGACACATATTTTGATCCCGTTTTAAACACATATAAATCCCGTCTCACTGAAGGAACATGAAATACTGTCCCTTTTTCCAAGCAAGAAAAAGGCCATCTCCCCATTAGACACGAAGAGTAGGCTCAATAGTGGTGGATTATCCCACCCTTACAAAACCTTTAATATATTTTCTGTGACAGTCAAACATCGGTCCCTATTGTGCACCCCATGTCGTTTCATGTTCATTGCCACAATATACTATGGTTTTGGGGGAATACAGTTGACAAATATTATATTATTTAATAAATAATGCTTAACAAGTGCTAACGTATTTAAAACTATCAATCATATGCAGAAATCTTATAAAATCATGTATCTTAACCAGACAGCCTATAATTTATGCGGAAGTCGGATCGAATGCAGGGAGACGTGGGTTCGATGTTTGACGAGATCGATCCACCGTTTTATATGATGCTTCTTCACCATGTTCACATAACCATACAGAGTTGGAGAGTATGAGCTCACCCTTTTGCACCAGAGTCAACATAATGTATCATGGCATATTCATATTATATAGAAATGCAATTTTCTTGAACATTCATGTAATATATACAGCCTTATCGAATCAATGAATTAGTCAATCATATTTTTCATCACAATATTGTATTATTGTCAAATATATATATGCTGAGTGAATTAAGCATGACAAACAGACATACAAGTTTTCAGCAACGTATATCTACTAATTAAGAAGGGACTTCCACTCCCTTTCTCCAAAATAATTTTTTGATTGTTTTTGGTATTTTTTTAATTAACCATCTGAGACATCTTCCATATACACATGAAATATCAGTGCTATTAATAATTTCTTAATAGGCGATCCCGGCTCGAGCTTTTGTTTACACATTCTTATGAAAAGAATACATTTAATAATCTTTGACCTAACTGTTGTTGTGTGACTTTGATAATATCCAATAATACAATTAATTTACCTGTTGAATTTAAATTTAACAATGTTTAAATCATTACTGGGAAATACAAAAAGTTATTTTTGTCTTCATTTGTAGTTCGTGGAAACCCATTAAACGTTGATGCAGTGTAGAGGAAGTGACACTGGAAGTAAGTTGTAATTTATGTTTTACAAGTTGTACATTTAATAAACATCTTTATTTGCAAGTTGTCTCAAACATTTAAAAGTTTTCAGACCGTGAAATATTTATTGTAAAATTTCAACATGCTTGATACCGTACTAACTAGATGTCAATGAACTTTTTTCTCAATAATGTGCATGGATATTAATGTCTGGTTAGGAGAATATATCTAGTTATTCAACTCCATTAAACGAATTTTTATTCTATGTTATTCAATTTATCATATTTCATGCGATTGGTTTATTTTGTGTTTGAATTTATCTAGGACAATATTAGTTATAAAATTAGGTCTGGCATTCATTATTGTTTGGAGTAGGAAGTGTTAGGCACAAGCACATGCGTTCAAGTTTAAAAGACTACGCATGGGTTTTATTGTCATCTTCATCCACACAGTAATAGTGTGTGTCTAACTGGATATATTACAGCATTTGGTAAAACAGAGTGGCAAGTTAAGTTGGGGGGGGGGGGGGGGGGGGGGGGGGGGGGGAGGGGCTATTTAATTGTGGCAGCGATTTCTAATATTAAGGCTTTTTAGCTTCTTACATTGGAAAGTTATTCCTCTTTCCCTCTTTTCTTCAAAATCTAAATTGTGCCACTGACAATATACAAGCAGTGCATAAAAATTAGTGTGTTATCATAGAATACTTTATTTGAAATCTCCCTTCATTTGCATAAATGTATCACACGAATTGCGCTAAAAGTCTCGTCTATAGATTATTTGAAATTGTCCTTGAAAAACACTTATTCGTACAAAGGGATAAATCCTTTGAATTTAATTTTGCTATTTACGGTGGAAAAGATTAGATTTTACATAATAATTAAAAGAGAGACTCCGTGTCAATTTCTTGTATATTCTAAAAATCTTAAGAGAGTGTCAATTTCTTCTTCATTCTGTCACTTTCATCTTTCGTTTTCAAAGTAACTTTCCTTAACTGAATTCTTGAAATAATGAGATGTAGCAGTAGTGTCTGAAACGATATTTTTCAAGATTTTTTTAATCCTCTCAATTAACATATGATATTGGTAACCTTGAACTTTCTAACAACGTAAATGAGGAAATGATCACTTAAGGTTTTATGTTTTGTGGTTTATCCACTTATTAAGAACCACATGATCGGAAAACTTACATAATCAATTATCATTTTTTTTAATTTTCAGAAACTTGGAGTTAATTAATTCTTAAAAATATCTACTAAGAAAATCTACAAACGGTAAGAAAATTAATTCGAAAAAATGGATAGGAGACAGCAAAAAGAAACAACAACGAAAAAAACCAAAGCAAACCAAGACCTATATCTAGAGGTCAATGTGCGGTTTTCAATAACAGACTTGTTAAACAATATGACATGATGATATACCCTGAATCTAGAAAATTTATGAATAATTTACCAGAGACTGTCAAAGATCTGTCATTAACACCGAACTAACAGATACTGTCAAAGAGCCGCCAATAACTCTGAACTAACAGAGACTGTCAAAGAGCCGCCATTAACTCTGAACTAACAGATACTGTCAAAGAGCCGCCATTAACTCTGAACTAACAGAGACTCTCAAAGAGCCGCCATTAACACCGAATTCCACAAAGTTACAAAATAGGTACCTTATAATAGAAATCATGATTGCCAATAAGACAACTATTTATCAGACATAAAATGACAAGGATGTACATGTAAGTATTTAGTACAACCTTAAACAATGAGTAACGTTCTAACTGTATTGTCTGCAATAAACGGCCGTTTAAGTGAGAAACCAATGGTGTGATTTATTCTAAAAATTCTAAGATACAAATTAGCAAAAACGTCTGATTGCACGGGTAGCAAGCTCATAAAGTTTTGACTTGGAGACTGTAAAAGATTTTTCTATCAAGCTGGTGCGTAGCAGTCTCCAAACACAAACCACTTCAATTAAACTTATAAAATGCACTTGAATGAAACCTTAGTTGCACACTGAAACTCTTTTAAAATATTGAAGGATTACAATTTTTCAACATAGGCTTTTGCTGTGATATGAGCAGGAGAAGTCCATCTGAAAGCCCACGAGAGCCAAAGAAAGAAGCTTGTCCTTGTACTGATAGAGGAGAACCATGTGGACAAGACATAAACCATGCAACAGTGCAGTCACAAACTAATGATTCACGTACAATTATCTACCGGCGATCTCCGGCATGTGAACACATGGATATAGACCACCATAACGAAATAGGAAGGCAATGCCATCCGGAACCTTTCTCCAATCCTCTGGCTAATACACATGAAGATGGAGTGTCTGAGAAAGGAAACCCCGTGGTTGAGGACCGACCCAATAATGTAGATGTAGAACAACAGTATTTACTTTTAGCCAGAGCTTCATCCACTGACACTAGTAGTTATTCTGAACTTGAATTAAGCCAAGGATCTAGTCGCTTTAGTGGCTCATTCAATAGAGATTGTATGTATCATATTACGAGTATTATATTTACAATATTACGTCATGAAAAATATTTTTTTGTATGACAACTTGAAATTTTGGAATGGCTAGGTTTGCCGATTGTAAACACAAGTCTCTTGCCGAATACTAAAAGGTTGATACATTTTCTTACTTTGATCTTTGTCTGAGGCTAAATAACGTACTATGCGGTAAGGGTTTTTTGCTTATTGTTGAAGGCCTTACGGTAACATATAATTGCTGACTCGACGTTATTCGGATTCAATCATGCCACATCTCCATTCATTATTAAAGATAATAAATACATTGTTAAGGAAAATCTAAATATGCTACAAAATTTTCTTATTTCGTCATTAATTTGTTAATTGCTATTGTAAATGCAACCCGTTATATGCTAATTTTGTTTTGTGTCTTTAATACCTTTATCTTTGCAATTTTATCGCAAATACCGGTATAAGGTTATATATAGTTATGTTAAAATGTTCACTAATTTGTGTGCCAAATATTGGCCTGATTGTCTTTACTCATTTGACAATGCTTTAAGTTCTTAAATCCTTTTGCAATGCTTTAAGTTATTAAAACGCTTTTTATGTTGTCATAATTGATATATGACATTTAATTCTAAATGTTCTACATTTGATTTATTGAAAGACTGTTGTTTGCTTAACGTCCAGTTAAAATTTCTACAATTAAAGAACTCATGATGATATGAATATAATCCCGATTTATTAGAGATTTTTGAAAGAAATTATAAATAAAACTGATAGAAGTTACTGTCTTTTTATTCAAAACAGTCATGTAACCTATATTGCTTATATCCCAGTCATTTGAACTCTCTCATAGTCACATTGCCAATCATACATGAACCTCTGACATCTCATTATTTTGTATAGTCCAAATTGAATATGTTAAACAAAGAAAGATAAAAGATTTTCGGCTTGTTCATTCATCCTATGCTTTTATTTGATGAGATAAAAGAAGAATGCGTCTGAAGACACGAAGGCCCCCGCTCAAGCTTTGCAATTTTCCAAGTTAAAAAAGGGAATATCTCTAGAACGGTAAATGTCTTACAAAATTCGAACTCTGTCTTCCTGAACTTTTTTTATTCGGGCGAGATGATGAGTCTTTTGTAGACGAAACGCGCCGTCTGTCGTACAAAAGTTAAATTCTGGTATCTGTGATGAGTTTTTTTACACAGGTGGTTCATGTAAACTGCTGATGCAGAAATTGAACTGTGAAGAGACAAAACAGTTCTGGAGAGAAATTGACAACGAAGGACCAAATGCTGATCAAAGCTGTCATGTTAAGGTCTGTACATTACAAACTTACATAAATGTTTTGATTATTATTATTATTATTATTACTATTATTATTATTATTATTATTATTATTATTATTATTATTATTATTATTTAGTTTTATACAAATTGTCAAATTGTATATATAAAAAATATACGATTTGTTCATTAATGGATAAATGTAATAAATAAAATTTAGTAAATTTAGTTATAATATCAATAATTTCAATTGAAATCTTTTGATTTTGGTACGAATTTCAAAAGTATTTTGAATTAAAAATTTTCCTCAAAGCATACATTGTACATTATAATTAGCTGCACGTAATATAAATATCGGCCCAACTATTGCTGAATTACTTTGAAGACAGTGTGATTGGGGGATAACACGCCTAATTTTACCGTCGGGTTCGAGGCTCAACATTATTGGTTCCGGGCTCCTCTTATCAATGCTTTTTTGGGGGGTTTATTACTCCATGGTTTCCTCTTAAAGGATGAATAGGTCCTAAGAAAGTATAATGGGCTCAAGATACATTGGCTTTAGGCTCCAGGGGAACTGTGGATCCCGTGTTTTTACCTAAGTGTCAAATTTACTAAACATAAGTATGATATGTTAAATAATCTTTTCGTATCTATTTATAGTTCTTTGAAAAATTTCTGGAGAGATTGAAAGACGCATTTCCGAGAGAAGAAGGTCTGAAGAGTAAAAGTACCATAAACCTTTTGAAATTTCTATTAAATGTTGACCGAAAAGGTAATTTTATTACTTCGTCTTTTGCTTTGTATTAAAAAATGGCAAAATAAAATGCAATATATATTCACAACACTATAACTTAATCTTAATGTAGATCAACCTCGCACCAAGATATATATTTAACTTCATTAGGTACATGTTTGATGTGGAAGTATGTATATCATTTAGTTCTTACTTTTTATAATGCACTATTTTATTATTCATTGACAAAACGATGAAGTTGTGTTGAATTACTGAACTCATACAATGTAGAGAATCTTATATCTTTTATTCTTATATCTTATATTCTCATATTTTATATTCTCATATCTTATATTCTCATGTCTTATATTCTTATATTCTTATATTCTCATATCTTACATTCTTATATCTTATATTCTCATATCTTATATTCTCATATCTTATATTCTCATGTTTTATATTCTTATAGTCTTATATGCATTGTAAACATAGCATATTTATGTTAATTTTCTTCATAATAATATAAAATTACACACTATTCACAGACCCTATTGCTGGTATAAAGCTGTCCGATTTGAAGAGGATAACTGATTTATTTGGTCCAATCAAAAAGCAGGACAACAGATGTGCATTGATATATCAGGTATTATATATAAGGTTGAACAATGTATCATGTAAAACTGCTTTATACATTTTCCCTTGACAATTTTTCAGTCATGAAAAATACGACACGCATTCAACGAATAGTTAAAAGGACAAGGTGCGATAAGGGCAATCCTTAGTCTTAAATTTACTAAATTTTGAATTGTTTAAAAGTTTTCAATATAGTTTAAAAGCTGAGTTTATTCAAAATTAAAAACGAATAGTTTTCGATTCATGACGTCGCAATACATTAAGTCGTGACGTCGTGGAAAATACCCTTCTACGGGTTTTCGAGAAAAAAGTGGATTTTGATTAATTATTTAAACTAATCAGATTTCAATATTTTGCACAGATGCGAATAAAACCACAGTTGTAAATAGATCAGATATTTGTCAAATATATTCATATTCCTACGAAATAGCCCAACCACGATATGATGTATTTATTATAAAAAGATAAATATGATAGGGTTTGTATTTCTGTTATTGACATATAGAAAGGGTGGGGTATTGGATGTTTCGGATGCTCATCCCTGCCACACAAGGATTGAAGTGCCCAAATAAATAAAATTTTAGAAAGGGTTTATTATATTTGCTGTTATTCATTTTATCTTCTGTTTCTTTTATTATCCTACCAAATTAAATTTTTATTATACAATAATTGTTTTATTATTCAGTTACATCTGTTAATAAAAAGATCCCTGAAGACAAGAGATAAAGACAAAAAAATCAAATCAAGGTTTGCTATAGATATATATTTAATTAATTAATTTTCAATGGTCAATGTTATAGGTCAAGTGAAAAAGAAGTACAATGAAAATGTAGCTCAATACAAAAGTTGAAAAAGCCATCGATATGGAGAATGGTTTGATTAAATGGATGTTGATACTTTCATGCGCTAAAATGCCATAAAAGACATCCAATAGATTTAAGTACATTATCGATTATCACAAAAAAATATGATGAAACGTTGGAAGTGCATAGTTACGAAAAATTAAAATTTCAAAAGTTGACAAAGATTAACTCGACCTTGAGAACACAAGTGCGTTTATTAAGGGATGACAGATTTGTTTACATAATTCTTTCTACCTGCGATTCATTGAACGTCAACATATTTATGGCATACACCCAGCAATTAAAAGAGATAACAGATATTACTAAATACATTTACACTTGTTTGGGTTTTTTTTTGGGGTGGGGTGGGGGGGGTATTTGTTAAGGCAAAAGGGGAAGGAGAGGAGCTGACTTCAGGTACTGTGCAAACCTGTCTATAGTATAGATGTTAAAAGTTATCTAAAACATTTTAAACTTAAAACGTCTAGCTTGTTGCTTAGCAGAAACTAAATTGAAATGCCACGTGAAAAAAATCATTGTAGTATTGATATATTGGATCAATGTGCTGGTATATATTTTTCTCGGATGTTAGGGGAAAATAGAAAATTGTACCGTTCATTGAGGAAAAATATGTGATTTATCAAATTTTCTTTTTATTAGTTGGTTTGTTGGTGATATGACACGTGAAGAAGCCGAGAAATGTTTATTGGCTCAGGACTGTAAAGATAAATCCTATCTCGTAAGGTTGGTATTTGTACTAATTCATCCAGTTAGAAAAATAAGTTTATGATTAAAAATCCTTAAGTGTCCATTTTAACATGAAAAAAATAGGAACATCGTAACTTTTTAGCATGTCATTTCCACCTAATAGTAAATATCTATATATTCCTTGCACCACAATAATTGACTGGGATATAGAAATATGGTTATCTCGTCAAGCAGTAAAACATTTCTAAAGAAGTGCATCCATTTTATTGTGCATGTTGTAAAAATACACAACCACGTTAGGATTAAATGGATATATTACATCCGATACGTCGTATAGGGTGAGTACCACACTGTTTGAACATAATAGAACCTTTATAACAACTCTCAGAAGAATTAGAAGATAGTACATTGCAAGGCAACATTTTGCCTTCTATGGAACGAATCCTCATCATCCAGTGGCAGTCAAAATATTTCACCCTTATCCAGACCTCAAAAGTATATTGTAGTAATTTTAAATTTGTTCCCGTCATTACGATGACCTATCTAATGTATCATTTGAATTGTAAATGAAATCCTGAAAACCTTAATATAAAACAGGAACGCATGGGGCATATAAAACACTGAAAGTGTCACGTATGAATAAGATATGAAGGTATAAGTAAACTTAAAGACAAAAGTTTAAACTACTTTTACAGATCAAACTCAACCACCAAATAGTAAGATATGCCATCATCAACTCCTAAGTGACAAAAAAATGCAAAAAGCTGGAGTATATTGTTCAACATAAGATCCACACACATTCTCTGTCTCTCTCTCTCTCTCTCACACACACACACACAACACACACACACAACACACACAACACACACACACACACTAATAAGTTCTGCTTTATATAAGTTGTTGTATTTGAAGGATAAGTGGTACGGATGGAGAGGATGGAGATTTTGCTTTATCTGTGAGACACGAAGATCACTGCCATCATTTGAAAATACAGGTATTATTAGTCAAAGGTCTAAATATTCACCATTATATCATTCCTTTTTCCATTTCCAGGCAAATTTAATAACATAGCTGCTGGTAGGAAATGAATGTTTATAATATCAAAGTGTACATTCGTGCATAGATTTATTTATTTTGCCAACATTTGTGCGACTCAAGTTTACCTCACAAATCATGCCATTTTCTGCTTGTGTCTTACTGTTGGTCTATTGCGTTAACTATGACTTAGTCATTCACCAGGTTAGATCTTGCAGCAAAAATAACCCTTTTTATACGACTGGTTTTGCATGGTATATATTCTAATTCTATAACTATTTACGTGATTTCAATATCTTTCCTTCTACATCCGTATGTCTGTAATACATTGTGTAATTATGAAGATTTGCTTCGTTTTTGACTTTTTATTACTTCTGATTCAGTTTGATCAGCATGTTTTTATCATACAATTGTGGACAAAAACACAACTTGATAAAATGCAACACAAAGTTATCCCAAAAACAAATAGCTCCATACTGTGTGTGCATTCTAATTCACAAACTACCAATATAATTAGATATGTTCAGTGTAATTACCTACTCAACCGGCCATACACGAGAGGTAGAAGACAAAAAAGGGATATTCAATTTCGTAAGTCATGACAAACTGAGAATTTCATGGCAAAAAAAAACCCCAAAAAAGGCAGTCTGCAAAACACAACCTAAAAAACTAAAGACTGAGCAACACGAATCTCATCACAAATCGGGAATTATCGCAGTTGCTCCGGAAGGGTTAACAGAATCTGCTCCAAAAGAGAGAACTACATTTTAGAAGAAGCTATCCTTTCTCATAGACAATAGTAGGGTGTATTGCATTTTCTATATTTACTGACATTCGTAATATATATTACTGATTTGTAGGGTGATCCTAAGACAGCTCTGTCTGCATCTCCATACAATGCTCATTTAAAATTTGCTGGACGGGAGTTTTCGTCTTTACCGGAAGTGGTCGATTACGTCACACACAAACAGGAAATTGAAATGGACACAGAAGACGAAACTGGAGATTGTTCTTCTGTGATGTGCCTTCGAATCTTCACTAAATCTCCACTGAATGGTGCTATGTCAGGCTATGAAAAGACAAAATGAAAAAAAGTACTTAGTGTCTATTCAGACTTTTTCAGACATATTTCTATAATCGCTGTATATTGTTTTATTCTTTCATTATTGATATGTTTTAATTAATATTCAAACAGAACAAATTTTCCCTTTATGTGTTAATTTAAAAGTTTGATTAGTATGAAATCAGTCGCATATAACATTGATAGTTGTGCTTAATGTAAGCTTGCAACCCTCCATCCATTAGAAATATTGAACGTAGACGTTTCGACTGTTCTGCTGGCTTATATATATATATTTTGATCACATTTATACTTGATGAGGGCTTGAATCATCTTTCAGCTGATTTTATGATTCAGTTCACATTTGGACGAGTTCTGAATTTACTATTTACAGATTGTTTATTTTTGTTAATCATACTTGATGTTCACTTCAGTGGCAGCTATTGTCAATCGATATTTATTATCAATTCTACAGAATCAAGGTCAACGCATGTTTTTAGTAGTGAAAATATATATGTAGGCATACACATTTATTGTTATAGGGTAAACAGTACTCTGATAAAATAATTATACTTGATGAACGTTTTATGGTAGGCCACCTCATTTGGACTCTTTTGGATAGCTGTCTCACTGGCAAACATACCGTCCGTCCCTATTTTATACTGAGATTAATGTATTGAATCTTTAGCACTTTTCTATGTGAGTATTCTAACAAGACGGCACTATATTTAGAATATGGGGACATGCATTACTTTTATGTATGTTATCAACTATTAAATTATGTTTTGATCATGTGTATGTATTAATTTGGAAGAATATGTTTTGTAGTCAATGCGTTTACATTTTTGATCTGATGACTTTTAAAAAAATTCCATCATCTCAAATGTTCCATTTGCTTTGTATATGATGTGACAAATATCAATAAGGACTGTAGGTAATATTAATTTTTGTAAGGGTAAGTTATTTTGTATTTTCAAAATGATATTGAATTCGTTGATATTAATTCATTAATACATATTTGTTGTTTACATCTTTATCCCTTGTACTTTTGGATAGTTGTCTAATCGACAATCATACCATATCTCTTTAATTATATATATTGTATAAATCTTTGGCATTATGAATGCTCCCCGTATCATAATACTATATAACAGGACATTTTCTAGAGAAAATACGTCTTTGGGTTCGTTTATATTCCGTCAAAAATCTTTGGTTTAAGTAAAAGTCATTTGTCCGTCGAGGGGAATCGTCACTTCCTTTCAACGTTGACCGAATTATTCGGCAACTTAAATTATAATAATTACATTAGATGTATGTTTCATTATAATACGTTATTCTGATTGGCTAACTGCAATCTCGCGTTATTCCTTAATCAACTTCATTACACAATGAAATTTATCATTCATGATGACACGAGGTCCCACAATAAAGTGCACAGGTAAATTAAATAAAAACTTGATAAAAATCGTGTTTTCATGATCCTAGCTAAAAAATGTAATTATAAGTATTGAATGCTTCTTTTTGTAACTTCATAGGGTTGTAAAAGCGTTGACCGTGCTTTCGCGCTTCATACAAAATGTACTTCGGTCAACAATTTTACACCCCGATGAAGTTACAAAAAGAAGCATTCAATTCTTAAATGATTGTTAATGTGATTGCAACTTATTGAACAAAAATTATTTCTAGATTCTCCTGCATAATGACGACCCCCGAAGACGCTTGTTGAACTTGAATAAAGCCGGGATACAGGAATGTTCATCTACTGTGGATTCATTTTTATTCTTTGGATACCAATTTTCGTAGGTTTCGTGTGTACAGATGAACCACAAATTCAAATATTTAACGCATTGCAAATTTTCTATAAGCTTTGTATGCATAGATGTCAAAACCACGTAATCAGATATCCACGAAAATGCAAGTTTTCCTCAATCCTCGAAAATTGATACCCACAAAAATGAATAAATCCACAGTATCTAGTAAATGACGCCATTAAGGCATGCATAATTGACAAACTTGTCTGGTGAAGGACATTGCTCAGAAACCCCCTATTTATCTTTCGCTTTTCTGATACTGTTTCTTTCTCTAAAATGTACCTGTCGCGAATATTCTTATATATGTCATTCTTATTTTCTAAGATCTAAAGGATTGTAGATTTAACAATTTCCAACAAAACTAATGCAAAACTAATCATTGAAAAACAAAATTTATGCGGCGCTATAATTTCTAGGTTTATAATTCATTGAATATTACTAATCGCTATATTGAATGATGTTTTTGTGTTCATTTTTTATACGCCCGTTTACGGGACGTATTATGGTATACCGTTGTCCGTCTATCCGTCCGTCTGTATGTCTTTCCATCCGTCCGTCTGTCCGTCTGTCATCAACATGTCGGACATTAACTCATAAACGCTTTAACCAATTTGCATAAAACTTTGGTGAATTGTTTATATCTGTTGACGTGAGCTCCATATCGTTTTTTATAAATTTCAGATTTTACGTTTCCGAGTTATGAGGTTTTATTCATTAAAAAAAGGGGGATTTTCCAGTTTTCGGACAATACCTCAAAAATGCTTTCAGCAGTTCTTATGAAACTTTGGTGAATTGTTTAAATCTATTGAAAAAAGCTCCCTTTCGATTTTCATAAATATGACATTGAGAAGTGATTGAACTTTATTCTTTGAAAATGCGACGGGCGTATCATGCGCTCATGACGCAGCTGTTTATTAAGTTTTGAGATAAGAATAGGAATATTTTGTAAAAAATATAATAGTACAAAAAACGTCGTTTAAATGTAAGATATATTTACAAGTAAATAAACATTCATTAGGTAGCACATTATACTAAGTCTTCGTGCCTTACAGTCTCACAAACAATAGAAAATGCAATACTTTCAGTCATACCAAAGACCTATTAACTGTAATACAAATCATGACATATACAATAACATTTTTGAAACGTTTGAAAATAAATAGGACTCAAAACTTACCTATACCAAAATAGTGACTTAATGTTTATTTATTTTACAATTGTTGTTTTTTATTGTTTAACATGTATATATACAATGTACATCTATATATATATGGTTTATTGTGTTTGGAATAAAGAAATAAAATTACATATATATAGACAGTCGTCATGTTTGTTTTATTTCTAGCAAGACATGGATATCAATAAATCGTTGATATTTGTACAAACTTGCCATATTCTATTTTATTTGCAAGTGAATGTTTATATACAATCATTGTTTTAACTGCAATGATTTATTAATAATGCTGATACCAATACACTGACTTATATCGTTCAAAAATACAAATTGATCGTTGTTTTTTCTTCCCAATTATCTATAGATAGACCAATATGAACGATATAAATCAATTTGATTTAACTCGAAAAAAAAGTCTTCACCTTGGATGACAATTGTACCAGCTTTTCAACGTTTTTATTAAATTTAGATTTAGAGTTTTCCATTGTTTGTTGCGAGCATCAATGAGGAGACACTTATTGTCTGAATGCGCAGGTGGTACAGTAAAATGCATACCATATGATATGACTACCGAATCTGTGATGCATGCATAGCAGAAACGTCGAAACTGGCGATGGACCTTGTCCCACTGGAAAAGATATTGGTGTTAAAATATTTTTGTTTCACCTGACCTACAGACTTGTTCCGGTTATAACCAACAAACTCGAAGTTGTTTATCTTTATTTCATTAAGCAATATCGGAATCTGAACTCCTTAAGCAGATTAAAATAAAAATAACAACATAATATAATAAAATCTCAACATTATAAATAATAGCATAATCAATCTTAACAATAAACACGTATATATCAAGATAATACAAACCAACAAATAATAAATCTGGATCAAAACAATGCAATACAAAGATAACAAATCCAGAACAATAGAACACAATAATAAGACGACAAATTTGGAACAAAACAATACAACACTTAGACAACAGCTATGTTTTCACGGTCTTGCTTAGAGTTGACAAAAACAGTTTTGTTCTTTAAATTAAGTTAAATAGAGCTACTTTTAATCTATCTACCATATATGTTCTTTTCCACTTGATTGTTTTGCACATGTATACACTGTTAGAAGTTTTAAATGTTTTGGAGAATCATAAGACTCGTATATTAATATTTAAACAGTTTCGACACTTTAGAACAAAGACTATAGCATGTATAGGAACATTGAACTCAGTATATCAATGCAATTGTTAATTGATTTGAATATCACCGATTGTGTATCTATGTGTATACGGTGTAAGTAATTTATAAATCTAACAAGACCGAATAAAATTGATAAAAAATGAAATAACAAAGAAACTAAACTGCAAGGTAAATTCAAAACAGGGAAGTCGATAAAAACTGACATAACCAAAAGCTCATGTCAACCAACGGAATGACTGGAAAACGACTGTCATATTGCTGACTTAGATTTGGCATCTTCTGCGGTTTGCTAATTAAAACAGTAGTATACCGCTTTTCAAAAGTCATAAATGGATTAAAAGAAAACAAATCCGGGTTACAAACTAAAACTGAGGGAAACACATCAACTATAAGAGGAAAACAACGGAACAACAGAAACACTGAACTGCAACAAAAACAAGCGTCTACATACATAGAAACGGACTATTTGAAAACAACTGCCATATTCCTGACTTGGTACAGGACATTTTAAGAAAAAATGGTGGGTTGAACCTAATTTTATGGCTATCCAAACCTCCCGCTTATATGGCAATGTAAAAAATATCGCTAAAATGACAACACTACGTGACAGGAATGCAGTACAAACAAATGCAAGAACACTCAGCACAGAGAAATGCATAAATAAATAATATAATAGTATATTACAACATGTATACCGCAGAATAACACAGGGCATCTCCAATTAACGACAGCACAGAACACCACAAACTGCCCGTCACATGAATGGAGCAACGCCACAAAAAGTGACGTATTTTTGTGACGTATATATAATCTTGAAAATCATACAATTATATGGAACGAGATAAAATAAATCACAATCATTTTCACAATACTAGTCCAAATAATTAGCATGATTATGACGGTCTTGAAAGGCTATTTTAAATTAATGCTGTGACGACGTCATAATTATTTGGACTAACACAATATTTTATCCATGGAAAATGGAAATTAACTCGATTATACTGACAAATAAGACACATGTGAAATGTTCCAAAAATACAGAATTCAAACCACAGACGATAAGACATAACACAATTTCAAACGGTACTTACAGAAGAAACATCATAACTTAATACATTAATGTTGGATGTATAAATACCGAGACACATCGTATAGCAATGCGAATTCACACTCGGCAAACCAGTCATATTCGGGAATAGGTCACGTTAGGTACTTAGCAGACAGACGACGTAGATGTCTAAACCTGGTTTTATAGCTAACTTAGCTCAAACTTGTACATGTGTACATGTTTGCCAGTTATTTCTAGTTCTGTTATATTGACAAAACTGTGTAAGCAACCAACACAGACATACATTGTTGTAATTATATAAATGACAATAATTGAGATCTAGCAGCTAAAATTGTGAAAATAATACATCGTAGATATATAACATAACTAAATTAAGTAATCCAAACAAACATACAACAAAATTTAACAAATACGTAAAAACTTTTGTAGAAAATAGTAAATATAATATATTACAGTATTGTAAAACATAATGACATTTAAGTACAATTTAATGAAATGGAAACACGAGATACCCTAAAAAGATGATAGACAATCAATTCGATTTAAATTTGAAGTGCATAAATGTGAGATAAGAAAATTTAGAAGCTACATGTCGAGTAAATATGGTAAAATGAAAATAAAATGATGTAATTTAAGAAGTTATAATTGATAGTGTAGGTTACAACGCGAAGTACTTGTACAATAGTGGTGATTAATACGATGGGCGTGCTTTGTTCATGTACCATTATCATAAAATCCTGGTTGAACAATTTTAATTTACGTGAATGTCCCTATGTAGCATTATATTTTACATAATTGACAACTTTCTATTGAGGTCCGGTTTTATCGAAAACGAATATAGATCTTATGTAGAAATAGGTGCACCAGAGTACTAATATATGAATGTAAATACTTAATGAATACAATAATGAAATGTCAAAGTGAAACCGTGAATCAAAGAAAGACTGACGATCATTTACGCTTGAATGTTGGTTTTAAAACACATTCAACTTCGTAATTTGAATTAAAAAAAAGAAGATGGTATGATTGCCAATGAGTCAACTATCCATCAGAGACCAACATATATAGAAGTTCAAGTTCAAATTCTTCATTGTAAACTCTCAGACATATGTAGTGTTACAAGAGGAATTCAATACATATATTCAAATGGAAATGGCAGCTAAAATATACAAATATGTGTCATCAAATTAATTATGAACAGATGATTTATCTAAACAGTTCAGCTAATTTACAATATTTTGTCTAAATTCCTCAAAAATATAGCTATGTTGTGCATACACTACCATAAAAAGTTATTAGTTTACTCGGTGCGACAAAAGTTTTATAGTATGTGTAGACACTCCTGTATATCGTTGAAGACTGTAGGATGTCTAGATTGGTTTTTGTCAGTGAAATGTTGTCTCATTGCGATTACCTTGCATCCTTTTTTCCGGCAGAACTGTCAGTACAATTTCAAGTTGTAATTTGACGTTAATATTTATTTTTGATACTGCAAAACTGTTTGCGGTCGTACAATGGCAAAAAGTAGAATAACAAAAATAACGAACTCCAAGGAAAATTTAAAACAGATAGTTCTTTATCAAATGGCAAAATCAAAAGCTCAAACACATCAAACGAATGGAAAACAACTGTCATATTCCTGACCTGGTACAAGTCAGGCAAGATAGTTTTATTTTCTTACCGCTTGTCTATACTAAGAACTTTTTATAAAAATACATATTTGACGCTTTTTTCATTTTATTATTTTCTAAGGGCTCTCATATATTTGGACCTCCGAACTCATGAAATTGAATATTTTGGTCAAGTGTTATTTTGAATGAAGTAATTTTGATAAGTCACATTTGATTTCATTCAGTATCAGTAATTAAAAACTCTCAGTCTCATTTAAACCAATATGATTACATTAATTGTAAATTTTGATTATCAATTCGACTTTCAAAACGTTTAAATACAAAACTTTGGTAGGTTGTGGGTTGGTTGTAATGTAATAAGATATAATTAATCTTAAAGATAGCATCGTGTACAATAAAAGAACGTTGATCTATACGACTTAAACGCACGGTAATAATCCTGATGTAATGTAAAATTATCTTAAAAACAGTTTTTCCAATACAGCAATTATTTGTGAAAAACCTTATCAACGTAATATAAGCACACTGATAAAATCACGTATACGTCAATGTTATCTAATACGAAATTAGATCTCATGAAATACTTAACGTTTTTAAACGAATTTTTAAGGTATATATATATCTGATCCATTAAAGTATTTATTATCCGGCTTTTACACATGCTACTGAATAAGTAATGTAGACTTTAGTGCATGTTACCGAACGTTAGTCTTAGACCGGTTTAAACAATGAGGATGTTGAAATCTTAAAAGCCTGTTTGACCCCAAATTCAAAACTCATATGCCTGGTCAAAAACTAGAACCTCGCCACTTGTTGTTTTATGTGATATCATAATGTTTTTTGTTATTTTGAGAAATTTGAATTGATAACAATATTTATTGTTTTTTTTTTTTTTTTTTTTTTTCCAATTATAATTTTGTTGTTGAAGATTGAATGTTGACCTCATACAAACCCATTTTTGTTTATCCCAATCTTTGTCTGTTTCATATCTTGGCCTTCGAGACATGTTTTTTTCATCTGTACATACATATAATTACCTTAAAAGGCATGTTTGATATGTTAAACTCTATAACACACGCCAAATTGCTAACTGAAGGGCACAACAAGGCGACTTTATTAGGTTTTGACTGTTCTTTTCAGACATTTATGATTTTTATGCTCCGAACCGAGTCCCTCAAACTACTATTTCTGATTCCAGCTGTAATTCGCGGTCAGTATTGATCTTTATATTACTGTAGATTCTATAACT